GCAATCTGCCAAAAATGGACCCGGAAGAAATCTGCCCAAATCGGTCCTTAATTGACTTAATCGACGTTGAAGAATAGCCTCAGGCCGAATCCGTGATCAGTAGCCTTCAAAAACCAATGGAAAAGGGACTTTCGAAAAAAATCCTCCAAGATATTACGATAATGCCATCCGAAAATAAATTCGCTCAAATCGGTGCTTAATGGGCTTCATCATCCTTGGAGAATTGGATCAATAGACTTCATTATATGTGGAGAATAGCCTCGGGCTGAATCCGTGATTTGTAGCCACCTCCAAAATAGAGAGAAAATGGCATTTCGGAAATATCGTCCAAAATCTGTGATGCTACCCCTTTGTAATCTGCCAAAAATGGACCCGGAAGAAATCCACCCAAATCGGTCTTTAATGGACTTAATCGACGTTGAAGAATAGCATCAGGCCGAATCCGTGATCAGTAGCCTTCAAAAACCAATGGAATAGGGCCTTTCGAAAAAAATCCCCCAAGATATTACGATAATGCCATCCGAAAATAAATTCGCCCAAATCGGTGCTTAATGGGCTTCATCATCCTTGGAGAATTGGATCAATAGACATCATTATATGCGGAGAATAGCCTCCGGCTAAATCCGTGATCTGTAGGCTCCAAAATAGAGAGAAAATGGCATTTCGGAAAAATCGCACGAAATTTGTGATGGTACCCCTTTGCAATCTGCCAAAAATGGACCCGGAAGAAATCCACCCAAATCGGTCCTTAATGGACTTAATCGACGTTGAAGAATAGCCTCAGGCCGAATCCGTGATCAGTAGCCTTCAAAAACCAATGGAAAAGGTCCTTTCGAAAAAAATCCCCCAAGATATTACGATAATGCCATCCGAAAATAAATTCGCCCAAATCGGTGCTTAATGGGCTTCATCATCCTTGGAGTATTGGATCAATAGACTTCATTATATGTGGAGAATAGCCTCGGGCTGAATCCGTGATCTGTAGCCTCCAAAATGGAGAGAAAATGGCATTTCGGAAAAATCACCCGAAATCTGTGATCGTACCCCTTTGCAATCTGCCAAAAATGGACCCGGAAGAAATCCGCCCAAATCGGTCCTTAATGGACTTAATCGACGTTGAAGAATAGCCTCAGACAGAATCCGTGTTCAGTAGCCTTCAAAAACCAATGGAAAAGGGCCTTTCGAAAAAAATCCCCCAAGATATTACGATAATGCAATCCGAAAATAAATTCGCCCAAATCGGTGCTTAATGGGCTTCATCATCCTTGGAGAATTGGATCAATATACTTCATTATACGTGGAGAATAGCCTCGGGCTGAATCCGTGATTGGTAGCCTCCAAAATAGAGAGAAAATGGCATTTCGGAAAAATCGCCCGAAATCTGTGATGGTACCCCTTTGCAATCTATTAAAAATGGAACCGGAAGAAATCCGCCCAAATCGGTCCTTAATGGACTTAATCGACGTTGAAGAATAGCCTCAGGCCGAATCCGTGATCAGTAGCCTTCAAAAACCAATGGAAAAGGGCCTTTCGAAAAAAATCCCCCAAGATATTACGATAATGCCATCCGAAAATAAATTCGCCCAAATCGGTGCTTAATGGGCTTCATCATCCTTGGAGAATTGGATATATAGACTTCATTATATGTGGAGAACAGCCTCGGGCTGAATCCGTGATCTGTAGCCTCCTAAATAGAGAGAAAATGGCATTTCGGAAAAATTGCCCGACATCTGTGATGGTACCCCTTTGCAATCTACCAAATATGGAACCGGAAGAAATCCGCCCAAATCGGTCCTTAATGGACTTAATCGACGTTGAAGAATAGCCTCAGGCCGAATCCGTGATCAGTAGCCTTCACAAACCAATGGAAAAGGGCCTTTCGAAAAAAATCCTCCAAGATATTACGATAATGCCATCCGAAAATAAATTCGCCCAAATCGGTGCTTAATGGGCTTCATCATCCTTGAAGAATTGGATCAATAGACTTCATTATATGTGGAGAATAGCCTCGGGCTGAATCCGTGATCTGTAGCCTCCAAAATAGAGAGAAAATGGCATTTCGGAAAAATCGCCCGAAATCTGTGATGGTACCCCTTTGCAATCTGCCAAAAATGGACCCGGAAGAAATCAGCCCAAATCGGTCCTTAATTGACTTAATCGACGTTGAAGAATAGCCTCAGGCCGAATCCGTGATCAGTAGCCTTCAAAAACCAATGGAAAAGGGCCTTTCGAAAAAAATCCCCCAAGATATTCCGATAATGCCATCCGAAAATAAATTTGCCCAAATCGGTGCGTAATGGGCTTCATCATCCTTTGAGAATTGGATCAATTGACTTCATTATATGTGGAGAATAGCCTCGGGCTGAATCCGTGATCTGTAGCCTCCAAAATAGAGAGAAAATGGCATTTCGGAAAAATCGCCCGAA